AAACTGATAAATCAGCACGTATTTTTACGGAAAAACACTCACTACAATTGGTTTCAGACATGCTTCAGTTATCTAATGAAGCAGAGTTTACTGATTTTTAAACAATGTGTTCTGGGGTTGGGAGGGATGGAGGTGTGTTTATATACGGCAACATGAAGGATCTTTGCGGTGATGGAACTGTTCTATATCCTGATTGTGGTGGAGGATACACAACATACAATGCGATAAAATTGTATAGAACTAAACACACATACACACACACACACACACACACACACACACACACAGACACACACAAATAGGTACACGTAAAACTGGGAAAATCTGAGTCAGAGTAGAAAGCTGTATAATGTCAATATCCTGGTAATGACAGCTCTGCAAGATGTTATCACTGAGAGAAACTGGGTAGAAGTTACATAGGACTTCTCTGTACCGTTTCGTACATGTAAATCTACAATTATCTCAAAATAAAAAGTCTAATTTAAAAATATGTGTTCTGGCTGGGTGCAGCGGTGCACACCTGTAATCCCAGCACTTTGGAGGCCAAGGTGGGCAGATCACCTGAGGTCAGGAGTTCGAGACCAGCCTGGCCAATATGGTGAAACCCCTTCTCTGCTAAAATATACAAAAATTTTCCAGGCATGGTGGCGAGTGCCTGTAATCCCAGCTACTTGGGTGGCTGAGGCAGGAGAATTGCTTGAACCTGGGAGGTGGAGGTTGCAGTGGACCGAGATGGTGCCACTGCATTCCAGCCTTGATGACAGAGCAAGACTCCATCTCAAAAAAAAAAAAAAAAAAAAAGTGCTCTATGTCCCAGGCTTGGAGTATTTAGAAAGATAAAATTCATACATGTGACAGACAAGCAAACACACGTGTTCCCGACAGTGGTCAGGGTTCAGTCCCCCACAGTGAGCACACACGTTTTGCTACCTATTGGAGTGAGACAATTTAATGTTTGGGTAATGGACTGAATCTAAATTAGGTATCAAAAAGCATAGCCATCCTTTTTAAATTTCTCTCACACAGGAAAATCATGACCATATGAGATTTTTTCTATGCAGGTGAATGTAAATGTTTAATGTGATGTATGCCTGTAATCCCAGTGATTCAGGAGGCTGAGGTAGGAGAATCACTTGAACCAGGTGGGCAGAGGCTGCAGTGAGCCAAGATTGTGCCACTGCATGCCAGCGTGGGCAACAGAGCAAGACCGTTTAAAAAAAAAATCTCATAAACAAAAAGGCTTAAGAAGCCAATTCAAATCCATATGTAAGAAGTTGGAGAAATGTGTCAAATGTTTTAAGGGGTCCTTGCAGTCTTTTTCCCACCACACACCCCATTTGCGAGCATAGCATAACAAGATATTAGCAGAAAGTCTTCCCTTTCTAAGCTTCAGATAAAGAAACATTCATAGATCACTCAGCTGCTCTGCTTTTATAATCATACTGTAAATTTCTCATTGATTCAAAATGATTGAGAGTAAAATGTTTCACTAATAGGTTACTGGGAGTTTGTGAGCATGTATGAAATACAGCAATTACCAATTTCAAAGGATTCAAAGAAAGTAGAATATAGTTTAATCCAATCACCTCAAATTCATTATGGAATGAGAGAAGGTAACAAAATAGTCATAATGATACTAAAATATTTATTTTTAAATTTGGGTATTTTTTTAGGACCTGACAGGGTTCAGAAATATCATTAGTATATCTCAACTATTATTATGAAACCAAATAATTGAGATTGAATTGATACAGAAAGTAATTCTGCACATTAAACAATCTAACAATCACAGATTCTTCTTATTGACTGTCATTTCCCCCCCATAAATACAATGTAGACTGTGCAATTAATTTTTCTGAGGTCTTAACACTTTCAGATTTATTTAAAAGTTTTCTTTTTCTTTTCTCAACCATCATCACAGATCAAATTTCTTATTAGATGAAAACACTTCTATAAATACGATGCTGAGTCCTAGTTTTTGGAAGGTTTTGTTTTAAATAGTTTCAGACACACCCAGCATTAAACTCATAAAGGGCCTGCTACATGGCAGATGAATTTTCTCCTGGTATCTATTATATAACCAAACGTTTACATCATGCATAAGAAGCTGGTCTGCTGGTCAGACAGTGGAGGTAATGCTAGCAGGGAAGAGAATAGAAAACACCAGCTAACAATGAGGGCAATCTATGCAGCTGTCACAGGATCACTTGACTTTCTTCAGACAAATGTCTTTCTTTCCATTTTGTGTCAAAACTTTGGTGGTTTTCAGAATTCTGAATCCTCTTAAGGCTTTGGGATTTTGTTCATCTATCTCACCAAGTATCTAAGCAGAAGTCTACAGCACCAGCAGACACAGTCAATCAGATTTAAGTAGTAAATTTGTTCATCCATCTCACCAAGGATCTACACAGAAGTCTACAGCACCAGCAGACCCAGTAAATCAGATTTAAGTAGTAAATCTGACTTAAATCAGAAACACTGATCACTTAAGATGTCTCTGATGTACATCAGTTTCATATAAATCATGAAAACTTTCAGGAAAAGAACGCTGTATAGCATTTATGCTGAACAGAAGAAAGTCCCCTAATTTCGTTGGATTTCTATGCTCAGGTGATTTTTTGCATGGTTCACTGTGATTCCTATTCTATAATGAGCTTTAAAACACAAATCAATTGTAAGAAAATCCACTCGTTTAGTTAGCTGCAAGGGCTAACCAAACTATTCACCTTTTTCAATGAACTGGACCAGAGGCAGAAAATATATCGGTAGTGAGAAATTTGTTTTTTGAAAAACTCATATTACCCAACTGCCATTCATTTTTAAAGATTATTTAATATTTGTTACTTCATATCTTAGGAAAACTATTTTCCCCTTAGTATCTTCATTTTATCTAAGTGTAAATGCAATTGGTGCCACATCTAATTCAATTGCTATTTAAAAATACTTCAGTATACCACTCCATCCATCCATCCATCCATCCATCCATCCATCCATCCATCCATCTATCCAGCCATCCATCCATTCATCTTTCAGGAAGTTAATTCTAATGGTCTTTCAAAAACATACTAATCAACCGAGGCAATTAATCTGCTGGTTAATTCATTTTCTTCCCTGGTTATTGAACAATTCTTTAAGGAGCTATAGCTTTATGACATCTCAGGGGGTGGGGGTGTAACTGATTCTGTCTTCAACATCTCTGTTGGCAGAAACCATTCACTCAAAAGGGGGTTCACCACATGCCATATAGCTAATGGAGTAGTATCAGGCACACCCAATCTGTTTCTTGTATAATTTTAGTTTTGTCTTGACAGTAAAGATGATTTTATTGTACCAGGACTAACTCATGTTTCCAGCTCCACATGACTCCATGACTGGTGGGGTACTATTATTAGGATTCTTGACTCAACAAAGAACATGATATCATGAGATCATGAGCTCCCCCTTTGTCTCAAGAGATTTTCAAACAGAGCTGAACTACTACTTGCCAGGGATACTGTAGAAAAGATTTGTATAACACAAATCTTGAAATAAATCAGCTACCCTCACATGTATTTTCCAACTCTCTGACTATATGCTTCTTTGAAAATCATTTGTTAATGTTAAGCCTTGCTAGAAAGGCCAGGCAGAACATGGCATTCCAAAACCTGAAAAAAAATGAGCAGATGTTCGTTCTGGGTCTTGACAATAGGGATCAGCCAGAATTTCCCAGTTAGGACAAAAGTTTCCTACTTTCTCTTTTGTGATGACACACGGTTAATTTTTCCATTTATACCAGTGTAATTTGCTAAAATCTTTTTTTTGAAATTTTTTTCTTTTTGAGACAGAGTGTTGCTCTGTCACTCAGGCTGGAGTGCACTGGTGTGATCTCTGCTCGCTGCAACCTCTGCCTCCCGGGTTCAAGCAATTCTCCTGCCTCAGCCTCCCAAGTAGCTGGGATTATAGGCATGTGCCACCACACCTGGCTAATCTTTGTATTTTTAGTAGAGATTGGGTTTCATCATGTTTGCCAGCTGAGTCTTGAACTCCTGACCTCAAGTGATCCGCCTGCCTCAGCCTCCCAAAGTGCTGGGATACAGGCATGAGCCACTGTGCCCAGCTTAAATCCTTTTTTTTTAATACAGCAAACCTGTGGATGGCTGCAAGCAGAAATTCTGGGTAACTCAGTCCGCTGTTTTGCTTGCCTGTTTGATTCGCCCTGCAGTGCAACACTGATTTGCTGCCCCTTTCATTCATCACTTTCCATTTGGTAGTCTCCTTTTTTGGTTCACTTACATATACTCCACAAAGTCATCGCATCCAAGAGGAATTTGGTTTTTGCTTTTTACTGATTTTCAAAGAAACCTCACACCTGTAATCCCAGAACTTTGGGAGACCAAGGCGGGTGGATCATGAGGTCAGGAGTTTTGAGACCAGCCTGGCCAACATGGCGAAACCCCATATCAACTAAAAATACAAAAAAATAGCCGGGCATGGTGGTGGGCACCTGTAATCTAAGCTACTTGGGAGGCTGAGGCAGGAGAATCGTTTCAACCTGGGAGGTGGAGGCTGCAGTGAGCCGAGATTGCACCATTGCACTCCAGCCTGGATGACGAGCCGGGGGTGTGGGGGGAGGGGGAAGAAACCTACTGAGCATGTTCTTGGATTTGGTGTTGTCTAGGTGTTTTGCGGCATTCTGCTACTGATGTCTTCTCCCTGTGGAATGCTTTAGGGATGTGAGCTTCTTCCTTGGATTCTCTAAAGCAAGCTCGACATGATGTGCGAAAAATTATTTCTTGATATAGATTAAAATCGATTGCTATAAAATTTGTCAGGACAGAGTTAGGCTTCTGTAGTGGGACAAAATTATGCAGGTTTTACATATAAATTGCTTCATTTTTCTCTTTTCCCAGGAAATGCTGCAGATGTAAAGGGCAGGGGTAAGAACTGGCTGCAGGTTTTAAACCATGGGAAGCAATGAGTCAAGCCACAGTTACCACCCTTCAGGTGGGACATGACACACATTCCACACACCTGTGCAAACCCTTTATTAAAGCATCAATCAAAATACAGGATGGATCACATGGTTTTCTGTTTTTGCTACTGTTATATCAACTTATATATGAATCATTTGTTTACATCTTTATTTTTAAAAAGTGAACATTTTACAGTTCACAGAATCACCAGATGGACATTTCTGTATAGAGACATTGTTCCGTTTTCCAATTTTAACAAAGGACATACAGAACTATTGAAGTACAACAAACAAAATCTAAGTGCAAGCATCTTCCTTGACTCTCACTGTTAGCAGCTCTGTGGTGTCTGAGATATACATTTGGAGGTTTTTATTAATGGCTAAATAAAAAAATTTATGCCAGAATATTCTTAGAACTATTTACTTCCTATTTTTACATTCTCTAGCTTCGATTTTGATTGTGGTATTCTTAGTATTAACTTTTTAATAAATTCCATCTCTAAAAAATCTGTTAAAGACTATCATCCTATGATATATTCTTGAAGAAAAGATAAATAAAAGATAAATGCATTTTCCAAAATCTTTTGGAAAATACAATAAGCAATTGTTTTATTTGATTTTTCCCCCACAATTGATTCGTTAACCCAAACCTGGTTGATCAGTGAAGAACCCCCCAAAAAACATTAGGAAAATAAACTGTGTTATATACTGAAGGACTTTTTTTTTTACTGACCAGTATCTTGATGCCCAAAATATGAATGTGAATATACAATGAGATTTGGTAGGTATTTAAAGAGTACTAGTAACTTGATTTAAAAACCAAGAATAGAAACACTTATAGAATTGCTGAAGTGACTGCCAAAAGGATATGTGAAGAGAGGTAAAGCAAAGTATCTGAACAATGCTGAGAAAACAAGAGTATCTGAAATACAAGGTAAATGCTCCATTTGGGTACCAGATGAAACACTGAAAGGAAATCCCCAGTTAAAAGAACCATAGGGAGCGCCACTTAAGAGTTTTAGCACTGAACAACACTGTATTTCCTAGGGCAGAATAAAAAGGTATCTGGTTTGCCTTTCTAAACCATTTATTTCTTCCAGCAGCTGGAAATGGTGTTTCTACAGTCAAGCCAATTTGTGTTGGCTGCTCTGGGCTCAGAGCGTGCTGTTCAAAACATGGAAATGTCCTTTGTACCTGACATTTTCTTCACGTGCTAAAGAGCTGAGTAGATCCTAGATCACCAGTAAATAAAGATCCAAGCATTAGACTTAAAACATCTTGCCAATCGTTAAAATAACTTACACAGCCATAAATTTATCCAGTCTTTCTATCACATTGCTTTCTTGTGATCTCATATTTGCCCTTCCAAACAAAGGTTGGACAACACAGACTTGTGCAATTAAAAAGGAAACAAACACTGAAAACAGATAAAGGAGGAAAGGGGAATTCCAGAACCCCATTGTGTGAGATGTCAGGTCTTCCAGCCTTAGTAGTGAAAAAGGAATGCTCGTAAGCATTCAAGACAAATCATTCTGGACATCATGACACAGCACAGTAATGCCTGGGATGGATAAGACATTCAGAGATTTTTAGAGCGACTTCTGTAAGTTATATATCACATGTATCACATTTGGTTCCTAGAGATTTTAGTCAAGTATTAGTCTTTCTTTTTGCTAAGTATGGTATACAAAAAGATGAGGATAGTAGATGTGCCCTAAAGATATGAAAATATAATATATAAAACAAAACCATTATAAATTACAGAGATTTTGCATATAAAATTGGTTTTCCTATTTAGAATAAATACCATCCAAGTTTACAGATCATTTAAATGAATTCAATATACACATATGTGAATCATTTTCAGAATTTTAAGAAAAACATTGCTAGAGATATGACCAGGATGACTCAGAAGCCAGAAATGGATTTTAAGAATGACTACATAAGACCCAAAGGACGAGGCTTTGGATTTAGTGTCAAGCTTTTAAAACTGCCCAAGTGAGTCCAATGTGCACGAGTGTGTACACACACACGTTCAGTCACACACGTGAATTTCTATGAAGCTGAACAGTTCACTTTATCTTTGAAAAATCAGCTGAAAGTCATGAGGTCTTCTGCATTTCATATTCTAGCAAGAGGGCCTCTCTTCTTTCATAAAGCAGCTGCGGGATGGATAGGAAGAGTGTAGCATTTTTGGAAAGAAAAATTCGTTTTAAGTCAACCTCCCTTTATGTCGGCTATTATCAAAATCGAGAGCATTCTGATGCCTTAAAGAGGGAGAAAGTTTTGAAAATCTATATACTCTCTCCCCACTGCAGTCTAAAGCAGCAAAACCAATTGGGAAACATTCTTTGGCCGCGTCTGTCTGCTCTTGCTCCACTAAAAATCTGCCCACTTTTAGCTTCTTACCACTCTTCAATGTCTAGGTGGAATGGATGCCTTCTCCCGCTGCTTCCATGTGGAAACCTGCACGTGAGTTTGGGTGGAATGAGAACTGAATAGAACGGAGTAACATTCATACCATATCACAAAATGAACTCGAGTCCCCTGTGATTGCTTTGGGCACATAAACCCGTGGTAAAGCATCTGCGGACCTTCATGACAACTGGAAAATTTTTATATTCTAAGAGCTGGAGTTAAAACTTTTCTGCAACCCCAAAACATGCAATGCTAGTCCAGAGAGCCTGAACAGGAGTCATGATTTCTCTGAATTTCTCACTACTGATTTCTTTATGTGACTGCCCAAAGCACTTCTATCTAGAAGTCAACAGTTCAGTCCTTTCCAAGGGATGCCTGATCAAACTCCATGACTAGGTCCTATCAGCTTCCACAACAGTTAATCTATAAATCAACAAATCAAAGCCAGGTTTCAAGAGAAGCCCACTGCCCTCCATTACAGAGCCAGATGATGTTTGTTGTAAAGCTGGGATGGCAAAAGCATCCAATATCAAGGACCCGTTTTTGCTTGTCTCATGCAGTGGGGGTTGGTTATCCTGGAAGACGCAAACTTTCTGTAAAACTACACATGTTTGAACTAGAAGGGATCCTGTAGACTCTTGGGTGCTACCTGCATATTTTACAGATGAAAAAGATTAAACTCCAGAAAAGGGAGTTGTCCAGACGGCAACAGGGTGAGGAGTAAACATCTGGGTCTGCTCTCATCACCAGTGTGGCCCATGCAATCTTAGACATCATAACCCCACCACTTGATGTGGCTTTCGAAGGCCCTTATAAGTTTAAGGTTACTGTCTCCTTTGCATATCAGAGAAAATGAAGTAACATGACTCATTCTCACCAGTACTAAATCTCAATTGCAGATGTGGTCCTAATGGCTTTTTTGGAAGGAGAAGATCCACAATTTGTTTAAAATGCTACAATTTCTCAAAACCAACAATCTTATTTAAGTAATGAAGCGTGAAAATGTTAGGTGGACCGAGAGATCAAAGCAAAAGTCTTTAACGTGATTGTGAAAAGGAGTGAGGATTAGTTTGGTTCTGTAACAGAGTGAGACCATTTCAGTGGTGTTCAGAGTTCATCTCCTCTGCCCCTTCTACAGATAAGGAACTTGACGCCCAGACTTGCCCAAAGCCAGGCAGCTGGATATTGGCACAGTCGGGGAAGGTATTAAGCCTTTGACTGACTTTTTCTTCTTTCCATAACATGATGCACCTCACATATAACTACTTTCTTGCAGGACTGAATAATTATTCAATGATTTTGGCATGAAACTTGATGGCACAGTTCCCTTTGCTATTACCCAAACTTTCCCTCTCCCCTTTAAGGACAGCCAAGTCAGCTATGCAGTTCACAAAGGTGGACCTGGTTATATGACTTCAAAATCAAGTGTCCGAGTCATCCAACAGCATGTGGTCCCTGCAAGCCTGTTTGAAAGCCAGTATTGTACAACCTACAGGAATTCATTGACTCCTCTGTCTTTGGAAGCAATACAATTTCCAGGTAAAGAATCAGTCTTTGTTTGGAGGATGATGTAACTTAAACATAAATAGTGATTTTCATGGGTGGTGTGGGTATATTTAACCTTTTCCTATTTCCCTCCACACCTCAGCTGAGCTCACCAAAAGGCTCTCTGAATCAGACAGGTAAACACATTTCTTGACTATTAAAGTGCTATTCCGGGGCAAAGTTTTTTCTCAGTTTCACAACAGCAGCTTCATTAGAAATGAACAAAAAAAGCAATCTATGAAAATAGGCCTGGGGAATGGAAAAAAAAAAGCCTCCTAACTACTTTGGAACATAACAAATGATTAATAATGTGACTTGTAGATATCAGCCCTGGTACTGGTGACTGACACCAAAGTCTCTGAGGTACGTGTTCTAGGGAAAAATAAGGACAAAAATGGCAACGAGGACTAACCCAGAAAGAGCAATTAGTATCAATCACAAGGACTCCATTAAAAAGGAACAGCCAAAGGAAATAAAACTGAGAAGAAAGTGCAAAAAACCCACGTACGTGCATTTGCTATTGTAGCAGACCTATACTTTTTAAAAGGAAAAGCAACGCAGTGTGCATCGGACAGGGCTCTTGAACTCAGAATATCTTACAGTGGTGGACTCTTTGCCAAGAAGGCATCACCAATTAAGGTATTTGGCAGAGATCAGCCTCTGAAACTCCTATCACACAGACACCTTCTGTCTGATATCAGTTCTGCACCCTGATGTTTCTTGCATCCTTTTCTACTGGGGAAATGCCAGTCCCATTCATGGCAGGCAGGTGCTTCCCCTTTCAAAGTGGCGTCACTCCTAGCTAAGGGATGAGAGTCTTCTGGTAAGGCTTAGCGGCAAGTGCGAACTACATCTGTATTACAAGGAGCAGCCCCTGATTTTCTGGATATGCATAGCTTTTCGGGGTTGGTATTAGACATGGCTTTCGTAAATAATGCAGGTGTTTTTGTCATGTGTCACTGCTGGCTCCGTGGCTTCCAGGTAAGCTGGCGGCAGTCCCTTATCTGATATCTCAACAGGTGTGGGCTCTTCCGACGTTAGCTCGGTGGACGTGACATCGGTAGAAGGCTCTGCAGTTTCAGGGGAATGTTCAGCCGACAGTTCTGTCTCCTCTACATCTTTGACTTCAAACTGTCTACCCTCTTGGTCGTCTGCATGCTCTTTTTTGGACTGCGGGTGAACCGACACCTTGATGGCAATTTGCTGAGGTTGCTCGTGCAGTGAGGAGGCGTCCGAGTCGGCAGCAGGGGAGTCGCTCCGCTTCAGAGAGTTGGGGATTGTGTAGACCTCATCCCTGTCTGCGGCCTCCTGGCCCTCTGGAGTATGCCTCACAAAATTCTGCCCCTGCTCCTCCAGCCCAACCACCTCCATAATCTCCTCCATGATCGTCCTGCAGTTCATGATGAGAGGTGGCAGAGGCACACTCCTGGCAAGCTCTTCGATGTAGCGGGCGAACTCCATGGTTTTGAACTGGGTGACTTTGGCAAGCTCGAGAGTTTTGGCGGAGGTGATGATGGGGATGCGCTTGGCGATCTCGAACGCCTTCTGCAGCTTCTCTGCACCTTCTGTCCTAAAGAACTCATTGATGGCCTTCTCGGTCTTCTTCAGGTGGCTGCTCATCATGCACAGGCGAGTGATGTTGAGGACCAGGACGATGGTGAAGGCCACCAGACACACGACCATGTAGTAGACGCCCATGTCTCCGGAGGTGAAGATGACGCGCAGGGTCACCGTGTTGTTCACTGTGCCGTAGACGTTCGAAGCCACACACGTATATTTACCTCGGTCTGAGAAGGATACCTTGGTGATGTTCAGGAGGCCGCTATCGTGCATTTGCCATTTTTCTGCCGGAAGGGAGAGAAGAGAATTCAACCAAGGAACACAGAGCTCCTGTTCTACAAACTGATAGGTTTCTAAGAATACCTACTACTAACTATGATCATCTACTTAACGTGCTTGCAATGTGTCAGGAAGTGACAGGCATTCGCTTATCTAATCTTGACAGCAACTCTGCAGGGTGGGCCCTGACACTGGCTCTGTTTTACAGGATGAGGAAACTGAGGCACAGTCAGGTTAAACAACATTCCCAAGGACACCTGCATGGAAGCCACAGAACTGGAAGATGAACTTGAGTTCTAGAGGCTGTGCTCTTTTCTTTTTTTTTTTTTTCTGCGATGGAGTCTTGCTCTGGTGCCCAGGCTGGAGTGCAGTGGCACGATCTTGGCTCACTGCAACTTCCACCTCCCAGACTCAAGCAATTCTCCTGCCTCAGCCTCCTGAGTAGCTGGGATTATAGGCGCCTGTCGCCGCACCCAGCTAATTTTTTTATTTTTTAGTAGAGATGGGGTTTCGCCATGTTGGCCAGGCTGGTCTTAAGCTCCTGGTCTCAGGTGATCCACCTGCCTCGGCCTCCCAAAGTGCTGGGATTACAGGCATGAGCCACCACACCCGGCCAGGTGCACTCTTAACTACCAAACCCTATTGTGTAACTCCACCTCCCAGTGAAAAATGAGAGAAATCAACAATCTGGAAAACACTGTGCTCTTATTGAAAAGTTCCTTAACTTTAAAAGCAACTGATTCTCTAACCTGCCAGTGAGCATGCTCTACTGAATATATGCTCAATGGGGAGGTTAATGCAATTAAATTATAATTGTTTACCTGAGTTTCTCAAATTTAAGACTCAAGTTATCCTTATATAATCTCAGTTAATTAAAACATAATTTATGTCACTCATTTTGAGACTCCACAATGAATTATCTACACTATTTAAAGTTACAAGCTAACACTGAATATTCAGAGGCTGGATATGAATTAATATCACTTTGTTTTAGCCTTGCAAATAAATTACAGACCCATGAAGCTGAAAATAAGCTTGTCACGGAGGAGAACATACAATGATAATAAATGTGTGTGTTCTTACCCCCACCACCCTCTCTGGAAGGGATCTAGCATCGCCTTAGGAATGATATTTTGAATCCAGTGAAATACTTCGGTTTGAATATAGTCTGCTTATCTACCTGCAGGTCAAAGACCCCAATAAAACACGATACTAGGTGTGGGTTCGGGGTGCTAGGTCTGAGCCCTTCTGAAACCCTGCCACCTCCTTCAACTGTCCCATAGAGCGAATGAAGATCCCAGTTAGGCTTTTGGGGAGTTCTAAAAGACAGGCAGATATCTCTCCATAAAAACAGTCTATTTCCCTGAGCCGACTAGAGAAACCTCTCCTGAGCGCTGAGGCAACTGAACGCAGAGCTTCCTTCCAAGCATCTATTATTGCACTGTGTATTACTTGTTTGTTCTCCTTACGGTGTTGAGTTTTAATTCTAATAAAAGGTTTGGTATTTCCCAAGACCAATTTTTTTTTTTTTTTAAATCCAGGGTTCCAATGACTATGGAATGAGGCAACAGAGGGCCCATTTTCCCACAGTGTCTCTGCTCCAGGGAACTTTCTTCAGGAAGCTGGACGCGGCAAGGAGGTACCTCCTGGGTTCTGCAGTCCCTCCTGCCGATCGGCCAGGGCGAATCTGGCGGGGGGCCTCTCGGTGGAAGCTGTCACATGACTGTGCCTTCTGAAAGAACATCTGTGAAGAGTACTTTCTGGCGTCCCTGAGTAACCCTTTTCTAACAATTCAGCCAGTGTATTTCCTCCGAGAGTAGAAAACACTGGCTTGGAAAATCAAGTGAGAATTTTCAGCTTCTTATGAATGCGTGCGAACCAACCAACCTACTCGGTCTGTGAAATTCTCGCTAATTCAGGTGCGTCATGGGCAATGCTTCTACCACGTTCGTTCCTTGAACATACATTTTGATATTTTGGCTACAGATTTATTCAAATATACAATGGCCTGAGGCCAGGAAAGTTACCTTATTTTCTTATAATTTGCATGTCTCATAAAAGCAGACTGCAGCAGGCATAGAAAAAAAAAAAAAAAAAAAAAAACCAGAACAAAACTCTGATTGATTGAAAGCTTATTCCATATAGAAGACACTGGGTTCTAGAGACATACAGACTATGCTTCTAGTTTCTCAGATTTACCTTCCTTTTGTTGGAAAATATAGCAGAAAATGGAGTGAGGAGTGTAAGAAGGTGAGGTTATTTGTGTGGAGGATGGTTAGGTTCAGCTTGTTATTTGTGTGGACGAGTTTAGGATCATCGTCCCCATCTGCACCACTTTTGTGGAACAATTATCTGTCAATACAAGGACTGAGTAGTCTGAACCTGGGTACAGAAGAAGAGAACGCCAACAAAGGCATCTGATGGTAACAGAAACGGCTTTTCCCCAACCCTAAGTAACAACTTCAGTGACACTCATGTTCTAACTGTTACAGAAAAGTAAAATGTGAAAACACTCACCAGTTATAACATCCCAATGCTTTCCTCTATCATTTAAAAGTGTTTCTGAATGTGAACTTTAGAGTTCTCAGAGACGCTTCTGTTCTACCGATATGTTATTTAACCTACAACCAAGCAGTTCAATTCAGACAACTACTTACAGACACTTCAAACATTTCTTGTGACTTTGTTAAAAGGGGGATAGCTTGGCATCAAAGCAGTGTAATTAGGTGATATGCGTGGTTCGTTTTGGGGAAATCTGTGAGACGTTTAACAGATACATTATTACTTAGGAGTATAGTCAGATTCTTAGCCCAGTATAGTGGGTCCACAGATGAACGGTTTTTATATACTTTATCCAATATTTAATCTTATTTGTTCTGAAAGTTTGAAGCCCAGTCATGTACCTGTGAAGTGACTATTTTAACTATAAACAATAGTTAAAATGTTGAATACATGACAAATACAGATAGATGATAATCCTAAAGCAGTGGGGTTCTTACATATAGTGTGAGCTGTGACAGTCTAGTTAAATGACTGACACCATTACAGCTCTCTCTGCCAACAACTTCCCATTTCCAGTGGAGGACAAAGATATCAAAATACCTCTTTTGTTTTTAGTCTACTGCTAGATTCCTCTTGAAACCACTGTCATCTTTATTTTATGGGTTAATGTTCATGTCACTTAGGATTCTGGGTGAGATATGGTAAAATGAGTATGTGCCCTGGATTAAAACATATATTCCCAGACCACAAAGTGAGTCCACATCTTTGGAAGCCAACACAGAGTCCTACAACTATCACAGAAGAACTAAGGTCCTGCAGCCTTGAAGGTTACGTATGTCTGTCTTCCCCTACTTTCTTTTTTGTAAAGGCCAAGACATTAATTTGTTCTGTGAACCAAGATTCCAAATATTTCCTCTCAGCCTCAGCTGCCCTTCCATTAGTGAAAAATACAGATTTCTGCACATACTACTGCCATATACACCTCTGAAAAGCAAAGATGGTACACATTCTGAGGCTCCTCCCACATCAGCTTGGGGTTCATGCTTAAGAAGCATCTCCATCCACACCACACTTGTCCAGACAGAACATCTTGTAAACATTCCTGCTGCTGCATGTCACCATTCACACTGGTCTTTAAACACCTGGCCCTGCAGCTCATTCTAGAAGGGTCCCAACTTCAGCTGCCAGAAAGTTGTACAAACACCCATGGTGACTACCACAGATCTTTAGTGCTTTACACGCGACATGCGGATGCACAGTGCAGTTCCCACGTATTTTAAACTGTAACTGAGTGGGAATGTCAGCACTTCAGCACAAATAAAATCCAAAATGTCAGCAGTGAATGCCAAGTCAGTTCTACATGCGATGATTCTGGAGGAAACAACAGGGGCAGCCATCTCACCGTGACCTTCTGAATAGAAGACAGATTCACCCTCTTCCTGCACTTGGACTCAGTTACACACTCCCTGTGCCTTGCCCAGATTGCAGCTCCCCCGCCACCACGCTGAAATGCCCTTCCTCCATCCCCTCCCGTTCTGGAAGGTGATGCACACGTGAGGCTTTAGGCTAAAATGCTCAGGCCAAGGGCTGCTGCAGCTCATCTCTCCCGGAGACTAGAAATTGCCAGGGACCTGCCACAGTCTTCCCCAAGCGCAAGAGTTAACTGTGAAAATCTCCCAGAGGTGGATAACAGTGTTGTGGTGACAGCGTCTCCTTTGCAAAGAGAAAAGCCAGCAAATGTTGTTTTTGAACTGTACCACAGTGCGTGGGCTAGGCCACACAACAAAGCTGACATTTGTAGAAGGGCAGTGATCTTTTTTTATCTGGTTCGCTAATTCAGTCAACAAATATCATCGAGCAAACTCTCTTAAGTACCAGGCTCCACTCTAGATGATGAGAATACCAAGATGAGCTGGACACGACCCCTGACGGCAAGAAAACAGCCAGTTCCAAGAGAAAAACAGACTCCAAGACACAACCACAGCATCATGTGGTAAGTAGAATGGCATCTGGGGAGGAGTGAAGGGGGCGGAGAGCAAGGGCTTCCTAGAGGAGGTCACTGCTAAGCCAGATCTGCTGGCACAGGTAGGGAGAGGAAGGCGATGAAGAGAAAGGACTCTTGAGGTCAGAGGGAGCACAGGAGAGAAGACGGCGGGCCACCGGAGCTGACAAACCACTAGGAAACCGAGAAGGGCTCAGATGGAGGAAGGCAGGGCTGGATTCAGGAGGGCCCCCAAACGTGCAAAGCTTTCTATCTATCCTGCAGGAGAGCGGGAGCCCCTCCTGCTTCTCACCGTCATTTACAGTGACCTTTCCCCTGACAGGTTGGCCTTACTTTATTTCTTACAGGGGCCACGGGGCCTTCCCACATGCTTCCTCTCTGGCTGCAAGGCCTCCTTCCTCCCCACCCCAAGTCCCAGCCTCACACACTTCACCTAGTTAAGATCCCATCCTTAAGTCTTGCTCCAATTCCCGGTAAAGCCTTCTCTGTCCCCTGATTAAA